TAACTAGTGGCTGTTTCTTGCTGTTTGCTAAGATAAAATTCCTATAACCCTCACCAATTCCTGTTAACAAAGTTAGCTTACAGAGATGACTTTAAAATGAAATTAAATGGGCTTTAACTTTTTGTAACCTCGGGCTATGCAAGGCTGCCTGCAGGTACTCAGGTGCAAATTAACCAGAAACTGAAACAAAAGCCCCAGGAAATGTAGTTTGAGTAGTGGTCACAATCACTCTGAAAGCATTATTTTGTGTCAGATAATAAATTTGTTTACCCAACTGAATGTGGTCAGACAATAAATTTGTTTATCAAACTCAATGTGCTTCCAGGTTTTAAAACCCCTCTCTGCTTTCTGAGCCACCAGCTTTTGGTCCTCTCCTGCTTGAGTGCTGAACTGCAGGCCCTGAGCTCAGTAATAAATGGCTTTCCAAATTCCAACCTGGCTGACCTGGTTCCTATTCTGAACAACCCATAACATTTACCTGATCAGCAAAGGACCCAAAGAACAACAGTAGGAGCACTTATTCATACCTTTGCAAAGGTAGTAACAGGAAACACAAAGTTGCCTAGAGACTAATAGCTGAAATTGTCCACATTTTCCTCAAGATTCACGTAGCTTGACTGCTTCATGCACTGAGGCCTTGTCCCACCCTCCCACATATGATAGATTTCCACCTTCAGATGCTCTCAGCATCTCTCCCTTTACTGTTTTATTCTGTGAATAAATGTTGCATTGCAGTTGGAGAAGCCATGTTTGGAGAACTCTGCAGAAGACCTTTCCATTCTTAATGGCAGTCCAAAGATGCCTGTACACAGCAATTTAACCCTACAAGTCTAGTCATACCTAACAGTAGTGAGTTTCCAGTATAACTGGCAAATATCAGAGGTTGTCAGTTATTTGAACATTTACAGCCGTCATAGCATTATGTCATTGCTTTTCTACATCTCCTGGTTACACTCTTCTGCTAGTTAATGTCAAGTTAAAGCAAAACATATTCAAATAAAAAGATAACTTACTGCTATCTAGAAAGTTCAGTTAAAACTCCTCAGGATTTACCTTTGAACCAAGATAACCACCTTTAAACCTTCTCTCAGTGTCAGCCACCTGGATGAATCATGGCCATTGTTTGATCAAGTTGTTTTCTGTGAAAGCTCAAGAGACATTTTTTCTCTCTAGGTGACTCTCCTGAGGCACACTATCCATTGCTGATCACTTTCGTCTGTGGTCCCATAATCTCTTTAATCAGAAAATTAGTGACTCAGCTGAGTTAAAGGATATCACAGACGAGGTTCTCTAATTTCTGGTCTCCAATCTTCAGTTGTTAAGCACCCAGAAGAAAAGCTTAAGGACATTACCCTGTAATGGAGGCTGTAAACTTGACATCACTACCTATCTGAATGTCAAACATCTTATTTGCGGAACTGGGGATTGAACTCAGGCCTTTGCGCTTGCCAGGCAAGCACTTATTCTACTGAGCTATCTCCCTGGCCGTGAATTTCAAACATTTTATACATAAAACTAAACAATTATTTTCAAACAACAAAGCATATCCTATTATTTGAATCCTTATTGAATGATAAGAGACAACAGCTACATATTTTTACATAGAAATTTAAAAATAAAAGCCATACATAACATTGTAGCATTATAATTGCGACTCCGTTTTGTGACATAGTTAACTTTTCATTTTTTGACATAACGTAACCAATCATCTCTAATACATAAGAGGCTTTCACCTAATTACTTGTCTTTTAATGAGATATACTTTACAAGATTTTGTTAAAAGCAGAGGTCTGATTCTGAGAGATTTCTTATCACAATAAGCAATCTTTATTTTACATTTGGAGGACCTGTACATCTGGAATTATGAATAGATTGAATACATTATGAGATTAATAATAATGAATTACCAGACCTATATGAGATTCTTTGTTGTTTAGTTTAGTTTTATATTAAGAGAATCTTTTATAAGAAACCCATATCACAATATTTTTCAGAAAACCTTTATCTTTTCCAAGGAACAATTTATTAGGGTATCTCCCAAGAGACTATGGAG